TGTTTAATATATGTATGTAGGTGATCGGGCACCGGATCAAAGTTAGTGGCGCCAACCCAAACTCTCTTTTTATTAAGCCAACTATTACACCTCACTGCAAGGTTTCAAGCCAACACATGTCAAGGCTTTTTGAGTGGTTTAGATTCACCCTTTTGAAATCAGTCTAGTGGCAAGAGTGGTCTATGACTTTTTTTTGTACTGTTTTGATTATGGGATTTAATTCCCCATCTTGTGTTTCATTTTGTATATAAGTATTTATGGACTTAAGTGGTTGTGCATACGTAAATATTTGGAAGTGGGTTTGTACATTTAAGTTCTCACAGCTCATTGGCCGTTATTTTTTATTATTGACTTGGTTTTTGCCAGCCCATTTTATTAAGTTATTGTCATTATTGTTAAGTAGGCCTTGGTAATCACGGATTACTGGCCAGTTATAACGCTAAACCTATAGGGGGCAGGTTTAGGTTCTGACAGAACTCTTTGCTATTCTTTATCGATCTGTCACTGGAGGGCTCTTCATTGAACTCGAACTGAAACTCGATCTGTTCTTTATCAAATCGTAGATCCAAAATATCATTCTTGAACCAGATCGATCTTTGTTGCTCTTATCTCAGGTACATTTTTCATTCTCTTAATCGGTGTTTGAGTTTGAAGCGTGCTTAGGCTGTAGTAGTTCTAGGATGGGTGACCCACTGGGAATAACAAATCCGTGCGTCCGTGGCCCAAAGCGGACAATATCGATGACATGTGGAGGGTTGGGGCATTACTTTTCCAAGGTAATGAAATTCCTAGCAGGACTCCCCAATTAAGCATGCTTAGGCTGGAGTAGTTTTGGGATGAGTGACCCATTGGGAAGAAAAAATCCGTGCAAACTTGGCCCAAAACGGACAATATCGATGACATGTGAAGGGTTGGGGCGTTACATCATTCTCTCTTGCTCTTCATCTCATGTACATTTTTCAAAGTAATTAATTCTTTGGTAGTTTTGTTTGGAAATAATGTGTTTTCGGCAACTTTAATTTGAAATTAAAGTAGGACCTAACCGCCGGTTGAGGTGGGTCTGAATGGTTTTGTATTCTCTTAAGTGAGAAGATTGCAATACAAATAATGAGCCAAAACCATTGAGTTATAAATGGGAATTGTCTCATAAAGTGGGCATCAATAAAGTTGGATTTAGATTTGGACTTAGTCTTAGTTTGGACTGGGCCTAGACTTGTACTTATATATGTGCTAGGTTTGGTCTTAGACTTGGACTTGAACTTAGTCTTGAGCATTAGGCTGAGCTGTGCTAGGCTTAGTTTATGCATGTGTTTGAGATTGGGCTTGGATCGTGTTGTGACCTAACACCTGTATCCATTTTGCAACCCATCTAGGTTAATTCTCAAAACTTATGCATTATATACACATTATGATTTATATAATGGTTTTGGAGTTTTGAACCTTTGTTACTCTAGCCCTAATGGCTAGAGTCGATGACATTTGATGACCCCATTGATGTTAGCCTTCATGGCTAAGGCTTTCACTTACTAGTATAAATAGAGGCATTTCTTCTCCAACTTAGTAGGTTGTTTTTAGAGAGGTTTTGTGATTGAAAATGAAATGGTGTTTTGAGATAAAAAGTTAGAGATGGTTTTTTACAGCAAAGAAAAAAATTTCTATCTTCTTTTGTTAGCCTCTTCTTTAGTTCTTGTTAGAGAGAGTGAATCCATTGTCAAGTTCGCTGAACTTATTCAAAAGATGCTTCTGTATTAGCTGGTTTCAACTATCGTATCCTGTGAGATAAATGGCGGCGTACCTCCAGCATCCATAGAAAGGCGATGAATCTATTTTAAGGAAACTGTGGTATCACACATGCTTCGATTTGTTTCTTTTCTTATTATTTGTTCTTTAATTTTCTAGAATTTAGTTACCTCAACGAGTTCTAATATTTAGTTATCCATATTAATAATTTTTTCTTTTAGTAATGTAATCTAATTTATTTTTGTATTTAGTTGTGTCGTTTATTCTGTATTTCATCTTTTAATAAATAAATAAAAAATTATTTTGTCATTTCTATTGAATTTATTTTATATATTTTTCTTGTATCATTATGGAAAAATACCAACAATCTTAAAGCAAACTTTTTTATAAATAGTTTTTGGAAAAACAATTTAGCTTTTATTTTAATTTATTCTAGTAACTCTTCGAATTAAAATTAATTTAATTGCCTAGAGTTATTGAATTGTTTTGAGTTGTTTATTTCTAATAATTTATTCATGCAATTTATTTTATATTAATTAGCTGTTATTACATGAGTTATTTGATTGTTGTGTTTAAGTTTGTAGGAGTTTATAAAAATAAAAATTTTATTATGTAAGATTCTTACTATTTTATTTGATTTGTTTGATTGTTTTCTTTCGTAGCTAACTTTCTTTACAGGTTTACCAAAGCAAAAAATGATGATATATAATACGAACAAATAAAATAAATTAGAATTAGTAAATTGGACTATTAATTTTTTATTTGAACAAGATTGCCTTTGCGTCGAATAAGGAATAATATTGGATGTTCGGAATTTTAGTGAATTTAATTATTCACTTTATAGTTCAGTTTGATTTCAGATTTATTCCGTATGTTGTTTTGAAAGTTTAGTAACAATTTCAATTTAATTTGATTAATTAAATTCTAAAAAAAAAAAACAATAGCTGAATTTTGAGACTGTTAAGAGATTCGGCTAGTCGAGAGATTTTCGACGGTATAGAATATCTCTAAACAGGTTTGTTTTGGGAGAAAATTTAATAAAATAGTTTCGATTTTTCTATATAATGATCTTATTTCTGAGCTTGCTTATAATTGTGTTGCATTATTACATGGTGGTATAGCTTGGTATTGTAGTGATATTAACTCTTATTCATTCTATTTATTTTTGGTTGTATCAATTGTGAGTTCTTTCATGTCTTGATAGGTTATTAAGGAAATTGCTCCAAAATGTTTTTGTATTCATGGAATGATAAGTTAGCCTTTAACCCTTTAGAGTTTGTTTAGGAAGTAAGTTGATTTTTTAATTTTTTTAGCCTAGGGCTAAAAAGCCTCGTTTGGGAAAGGTTTTTGATTTTTTATGAGAGAAAGAATGTAATGATTATGGGTTAAATGTAATATTTTGTCTTATTGTGCTAAAAAAGTCTATTTTGTCTTTTTGTGACTAAAATAGTCTCAAACCTAACCCAACCCTCTTCCCAAACGAAGGCTTAATGTACTAGAGAGATTTAACCTACACAAGAAAGTTAAGAGAATGCTTGTACATTCACTATAGACATGACTCCTACACTTTGGATGAATGTGAAGCAAATAAGCCCTTACTCCTTATATAGGCAACTTAGCCTATTTACGAATATTCCAGAGCCCTTAGGGCATGTAGAAGTTTTATGGAGGCTTCAACCACTTACAAGAATATTGTAGATTCTACTCTAAAACTACCTATGTACATTTTAAAATTATGTAAAATATTCTTACATTTTCTCATTAGCCTCATTTCCTTGAGCCTTCCTCATAGTGGGTAATTTTGTCTAGGTAACTCAATAGATTTGACGTAATAAATGGCATTACCTTTCCAATTTTTGAATATACTGTCAACTTCCATAACTACCAGAATAGGTTGATGACTTGAGCACATAATAATTTTTTTTTTTTTTTACTACCATGAACCCGTTCAATGAATGTTGTTCAGGTTTTCCCAGTTCTCCATTTGTCCCAACCATGTCGGAATATAAACCAATGTAGACGCGCTCTCTAAACAAAATTCCTGGAATCCTCCAGTCTCTACAGTAGATGCTGGTGAGAGTTTATAAGAGAGTCCAACCACTTCAACCAGACCCAAGTATACAACCCATGCACGATCAGCCATGCTAATTCAATTGCAGTACTCGCAGCTACAACATAGCAAAATTTTCCAATCTAATGTTGTGCACTGGTCCATTGCAGCTCAAGATCAAAGATCAGCTTAGCAATGTTAGCAAGTTTTTATTTATTTATTACCATCTCCAAAATTGGGATAATGTGTAACTTATCTTCCTTCGATATTGTTTTGGTGAAAGTCATGTGTCCTTAATCAAATTTTATTAGGTAAATTACACTTTGCCTTCTTTTTATTTGGTCACTTTCTCATTTTGGTCCTTAAAATTTGCTTTTTTCCACATTGGCTCTTCATGTTTCAATTTTTTTTTCAGTTTACTTTTAAAACTAACTTCGGTTTAAAATTAAACAAAAAATACTATGATAATTGTCACATAACATAAAATATATGTTATAATAATGAAATTTAAGTTTGTGTCAAGAGGTGTAGGTTAGGTTATATATAATAAAATATTTTTATACTATATGACTATCAATGTATCATTTTGTGTCTAAAGGAGACAAAATGTAATTTATCTAATTTTATTTTATTTTATTTAAATAGTTAATTGACGAAATGTCGACAATGTATTTTGTTATTCGTGGTTTGGTATCAAACCCTATAAGAAATATGAATTTATTAATTGAAGACATATATTATAACAAGTAACTTAGACTTCAAGATAAAGTATAGTTGGCATAATTAAGGCACATACACAGATTTTTAGACAATTTCATGTACAAGATATAGATCCTGTATTTGTGACAATTTGCACTATAATAAAGCCATAAATTATCCTTGATTTCTTGGTTTTGAGTGGCATATGATTACTGTCCCAATTTTTTTTTGGTAGTGTCATCATATGTTATAATTCGTAAATTTTGAAAGATATGCTTCGAAGCTACTCAATTTATTCGTCCCATAAAATGATGCTTGATTTTATGAAAATTAGGAAGAAAAAACACATAATAGTTTTTAATAGAAAAAAGCATTCCGTCTATTTTTATATTGTTAAAATGCTCCTAGCGAAAACAAGAAAGAAAGATGCAATCACACCCATAATATATTTACTATTTCTTTTCCACTTTTACATAAAAAAAAAAAAAAAAAAGAGTCCCAAAGGGTGGTATAATTAATAGATCACCTGTTAGATTGAGAAAGAAAAATGGATTAACAAAGAAAAATAAATACAAGAATAACCCAAATTCAATGAAGAAGAACCCAAACACCCCCAAAAAAAGAAAATGAAAAAAAAAGGAAAAATCTTTTACCTTTCTCTATATTCCAAAACACTATAAGTCCTCATTTTTCAAGGAAGTAGGGACAAAATAACAATATGACTGTATGTCATTGGACGAGTACACAGTCATATTGAAATTTTCAATCCTCGAAATTTCTACTCAAATTTAATTAGGGACATTTTGCATTTCTTCCAGGTCCTCCATAGTAAAAATAATTCCCCCAAACACTATTTATCCCTCCTTGAATGTCATAGCAATTTGGGTGATCCGCCAATACTCGAAGATTCGATAAAGGAATTAAATTGTTGTCCCAATCCACAATTTGTAAATTTCGAAAATAAGATGCTTTTCCAAATCCTTCACCGGCAAAATGGCCACTACCCATTTGGGTCGATGTGTGGAAACCCGATGGTCGACTATTTACGGTTTCTCCACCAAATTGTACCATGCTCGCGTGACTTCTCAAGTGTGTGAACAAAAATGATGGCCAATACCCGACTAGAATTCCGGATCCGAATTCAAGCCACCAATTCCCATGCTTCGGATCCTGCATATATTTAATTGAAATATAAAAAACCTGAAATCCATACAGAAGATTCTTCATTAATTACAAGCCATGTGCATGGTGGTGGCTCTCCCTATGATGAAATTGTAGTAAAAAGAGAAAAGCAAGGGAAGGTTAAAAGAAAAGAAAGCTGGTGGAAAGAGTAAATGACACTCTAAATAATAATGAAATAATATCACTTCATTTGGTGTAACCTCTAATAAAGTTAAATAATTAGTTATTTTAATTTATTCAATTAAATTTTTTTTTAAAAATATAGATTCTAATTACAAATTATATAAAAAATTCTAACACACTCTTAAAGTAAAATAAAACCATAAACAGCACCAAAGGTGGTATGTCAAATAAAGGTATAGATATTTGTGTGTGTCATATATTTGGGTTATGTTACAATATATATTTTTTGGTTCATATGCATGTGTAATTTTTTATTTGAATTAGTACTGGTTAACAATTATTGTGACATTTGGTTATGAGCCATTATGATAGAGGGTCAACAAATTGTTCAATCAAAATTGATTACAACTTATTATGATGTTTAGTTATGTCAAAATTGATGTTGGCTCTTACTTCATTATTGTGACTTTGGTCACAACTAAAACCTAAATTATATGTAATTATGATTAATTGCTCAAATTTATTTATTTTGTTAATCAATAGCTAAAAGTGAGATCATGTATAGTAAAATTTGCCAATGTCAGATATGAATTTTGTTAATGTGTGACTTTAAAGCACATGTATTATTATGAAGTGAAAAATAATACATTTTAAATAAATATATGTGTAATAAAAAATGACAATCATTTCAAGTCATCTTAACGTATGCCTAAGGCTGTGCGTTTGACAAAAAACATCATCTATGTAAAAAGAGTAATGTTATTAGAAAAGTAATAAATATTTGTTATAAAATTACATAACAAACACGCATATAATACAACTCTTTATACTCTGTAAAGGATGTACCGAAGAAATTTTTGGTAACCTTGGTCATCTCATTTTAAAATTAATTGTCCATCCTTTTTTTTATTCAGAAAATTAATTGTCCATCGAAATGATTTCTATTTTTTTAATATTATAAATAAAGGGGTACTTACATATAGGTCCTAATAAGTAGACTTATTGTTTAATAGGTCCTACAATGTTTAGTTATGTCAAAATTGATGTTGGCTCTTACTTCATTATTGTGACTTTGGTCACAACTAAAACCTAAATTATATGTAATTATGATTAATTGCTCAAATTTATTTATTTTGTTAATCAATAGCTAAAAGTGAGATCATGTATAGTAAAATTTGCCAATGTCAGATATGAATTTTGTTAATGTGTGACTTTAAAGCACATGTATTATTATGAAGTGAAAAATAATACATTTTAAATAAATATATGTGTAATAAAAAATGACAATCATTTCAAGTCATCTTAACGTATGCCTAAGGCTGTGCGTTTGACAAAAAACATCATCTATGTAAAAAGAGTAATGTTATTAGAAAAGTAATAAATAGTTGTTATAAAATTACATAACAAAGACGCATATAATACAACTCTTTATACTCTGTAAAGGATGTACGGAAGAAATTTTTGGTAACCTTGGTCATCTCATTTTAAAATTAATTGCCCATCTTTTTTTTTTTTATTCAGAAAATTAATTGTCCATCGAAATGATTTCTATTTTTTTAATAATGCAATTATCATATTACTTTTATAAATAAAGGGGTACTTACGTATAGCTCCTAATAAGTAGACTTATTGTTTAATAGGTCCTATAAAAAAAATTTGCCATAAAAAAATGTCACTAATTATAAATTTTAGCGACAATTTATAAAAATCATGACTAAAAAAAGTCACTAATTATTAATTTTTAGCAACATATATAAAAAATTGTTACAAAAATATTATTTTTAGTGATAATTTTATTAAAACTTATTTTTAATACCACTTGATAGAAATTAAGTCTAACTATTATGACCTATTAATAATTTATCTTATAATTTTAAATTCTGTATAGTAAAAACAATTTAAGTTCCCATATGAGAAGGAAGTGGAAGAGTCAAGGCAATCTTTTGAATGCAAAAGAAGGGTAGAAGAGAATCTTTCAAAGTAGAAAAGAAAAGCAAACAAGCTGAAGAAAATTATGGTCAATCTACGGAAAGAGGAATTTAAACAGTGCATGCGCGTATTGTAAGAAAGTGATTCACATTAAGATGAGTGGTCTAGATTACACTTTGGCTGGCTTTTCTGAAAATCTGTGTATGAAAGAAAATCGATGTGTCGTACACTCCACTGCAAGGTACTATGTGTGCATAATCTTAAGTAATGGGACCCACCAGAACCGTCTGATTTGTATTATGTTGAAGGTTCTTCTCCGTCAAACTTAGAAGGAGAATCCTACGGTGCAGACTTCATCAAGCCTCAAACATATCCTTTGTTGATGGTGGGTCCCACTAACCAATTTGCTCTTAAACTTCACAATCACAATTAAGGAAGGTTTTTCTTTAAACAATTAAGGAACTTAAAACAGTGAATTTGATATTTTTATTTTTTTAAGGTAAATTTTTTTTTAGTATAATTTTTTTTTAAAAAAAAATATTTTTAGTTTAGAATTGTTTATACAAATTAGAAAAATATTAAAAATAAAATTACTTTAATTTATTATTTATTTTTAATTATTGTCAAAGTGAACCTTCTTCCAAACTAAACAACTACTAACGGTAAAAACGGTCCACAATTCATAATATGGACAAGGGCTCTGCATATATGTTTTCTGTATTTTTTTGTTTTTGGGGGGTTATAATGACATTTATGTATGTTGCTCAAATAGAACACTAATTATAAATCAGCGAAGTGAAAAGTAAAAACTATATCCCAATGGAATTAATTAATTTTTTTTGGGAAAATTAGTTTGGGTTTAATACATATCACCTATTAACGTTTGGCAAATTACACTATAACCCCTCTGTCATTATAATTATTTGGACGGAATGAAGATATTAGACTTATGCACTCTCTCTTTTTTTGCTTTGCTTTGCTTTGCTTTACTCTTTTTTTTTTTTTTTTTCCTTTTCCTTTACTTTTTTTTTATAATCTAATTTCTTCTGTTTTTTTACTAGAAGTTGTTACCTTTTATATAAGCAGGGGTTGTGAAATGAAACTATTAACCACATTGAAAGGAATGTAATTTTCAAAACGTCATGGGGTGGGTAGTAATTGGACCAAACCTCAAGGGGTGTCAATGTAATTTATCCAATTTTTTTTTTTTTTTTATTGATTTGTAATTTCACTCTTCCCACATCCAAAACTATTTGAGAAAAAATAAGTACACCAACCAATTTCAGAAGGAAAATCCGGATGAAAGGACAAATTCCTTTGATTCTTGGTTAGCTGATCAAGGGCGGATGGGGTGGGCGAGGAGAGCGGCATTGCATGTCATTTTATGTCGAACCCATATTGATGTGAATATTTTGAATATTTTTTTGTAATTTAAATCTATGTATCTAAAATGCAAAACTATTTATAAATTAAGCTTGAAATTACCTTCCAGACTAACAAGCTGATATCGAATTGTCCACCACTGTATGACGAAGTTGGCGATATTGCAGCCCCAATTGCAATCATGTTGTTTGTCTGAACAAAACCCGAACACAGCAAATTGTAGCACCCTGTTGCTTGATATGCATCGGTCTGAAAAATCAATTTAAAACTTAGAAAGCAACATAACATACCGTTTATTTTGGTACAAAATATTTTCGATATTTCCTAGTCTTTAATACAATAGAAAACAAAAGTCAACTACAAAAAATCAAACTTACGGAAACAAAAAACTTACAGTCCAGTAAGTGAAGAACCTAGGATAGTTGTCCCCATACAACTCTGGGCTAACCTGTAAGAAAAATTATTAAATAAATATTTAGCATCTATGGCTACATTACATTATAAGCATTCAATGAATTTGGAAGGTGGTTGAGAGACGTAACATACATTCATTTTCATTTTCAGATTATTGAAAATTATATCATTGTTGCAGAGAAACCGCGTTTGTTCGTACCGAATAAAAATGTATATTTATCTGAACTTAATGCAATATAATTTCTAACTAAAAAAAAAAAGTTTAATTTCATAATTAGAGGGTGTTTGGGATGATTTGAATAAGTATACTTTTTGATTTTTTACGAAAAGTTATACAAAAAAATAAATAAGTAATTTGACTCAAAAAAATATGCTAATATAAGGGATGTCAAATAGTTTATTATACTAATAAGTTCATTCTACTTCATGTACAAGTCTATAATGGGTGACATTATACAACAGGAAGACTTTACTCAAACTAAGATATTTGGTCAGTAAGGGATTGATTAATTTAGTTAGACACAGTTCAATTAATGATTTGAAGGTAAATTAAATTGGCCTTCCCAAGTTATGAAATAAATTACAATTAATTTCACAATTTTAATATAATTATTTTTGTCCCTTCATGATATATAAATGAGAAAGCAATAAAAGAATAATTAATAAAACATATACCTGCCAACCAGCTTCAATGGTATTGAGATCATCACCGAATGAACCGGAGATAACCCACATTTGAGATAAGCTAAACTCATATTGATTATCTACCTGCGGTGCCCATACGTTTATACTCGCTTTCGCTCCATAGTACTCTTCTCCACTTACATACCCCACTGCATGCTGCAATTCAAACATACATAGAAACATAAATAAAGCAAAAACAATATAAATTCACTAAATAATTTTGCTTTCATTTTCAAGGACCCTTATATGGTTTATTCATCCTACATTTTGTTATGGTAAAAAACATTTTTTGAAAATTGTCTTTGGAATTTAGAATGATGGAAAACAAAAGTCAACAAAATTTAACAGAAAATAAACTTTTTTAAACAAAAAAAAAAAATACTTCTAAAAATAAAAAATATATTTTAAATTAAAGTCTTACTAATGTGTCATACTATCACCTCACCACTACCACCTCTGACCGCCATCATCACCATCACTACTTAACTACTATTACATTTGTTTCAGGGTTGGAAAAAAGTTTTTATTTTTTTTTACTTAAACTATCGGAGCATTAAAGATAAACCAATATTCTTTTATTTTTATAATTATTTACTCTTTTCCTTGTGTTTTATGTGTTTGTCGCAATTATATCAATTAGAAGTTTCGAATGCATGAGAAAGGAGGTGGAGATTAAACAAGGAAGATAGGCCATGTTTATTGGACGAATTGGATAAGAGAGATTATAATTTATTGGACTATTAATTTTGAGATATATTGGACTGTTTGGTTGGAAATAATATTTATTCCATATTTTTTTCATCATGGGATTAAATGTCAGAAAATGACTATGTTATTGAATCCTATGCTTGAGTGGGATATTATGAAGAAAAATAAATACTCAAAAGATTATTTTGTCATTTTGAATTGTTTACTAAGTAATGTCAATATTAAATTTTACTTATAAATTTTATTTTTTCTTTTACCTAGAACTTCAAAAAAAATAAAAATAAATAGAACATCAATACAAATAAAATTTATATTGAGACTTTATTTTATTTTTTAGTTGAGACTTTTAAATTTTATTTTATGTTACTATGTGCAATACATAACATTAACAAGAAATTAAAACTAATTTGACAAAAACAACAATACAAATTTAAGTGGACCATATCAGAAAATATTTACAGAGTTTAAAAAAAATTAATTTGACAAAAATAAACATCAAAATTATATTTTAAAATTTTTAGAAATTATTTTTTATTTTTTTGTTTACTTCACAAACTTAATTTTTTATTTTAAAAAAAAATTCTAAAAACAAAACCAAATGTGATTTAAATACTTGCAAGGTAAAATTGTCTTTTTACTATATAATCTATAGGAGGCTAATCCAACACTTTTGTATTACACCTCTCTCCGAGGATGAGATAGTGCTAGACTAAGGCCAAGTTTGGCTACAAAGAAAAAAGTGCACTTATTTCATCTTTTTATCTTTTTTGGGTTACATTAATTAACATCTCCTCTCTACTTTTTCTACACATAATACAAAAAACCTCAAAAAGTGCACTTATTTAGTCTTTCCAAACTAGGCCTAATAGTCCGATCAAATTATTAGTGCAACATATAATTTTTCAATCAAACAATGGACTAGACGAGATGTTGGATATGAAATCTAATTCATCCTCCAATCCCTCCAAACAAACCCCCTCCAGTTCTTAATGGAAGCAACTGCTTCAAGTCTGACACAGTTCTGAGTCATATTGGTCACTTCTAATTTTTTTTTAAAAATGTTCTTAATGAGAATAATAAATTTATTTTTCAAACAAACTCAAGAAAATAGAAAAGAGAAGAGAAGATTAATAGAAATGTTTTCCTTGCAATATAAATAAAAATGAAGAAGAAAAGACAGAGAAGAAAGAGACTCTGTTATCAATCAAGCCTCTGTTCTTCTTTCGCCATTTTCTTGAGAAAATCTCGAAATTCCTCTGTTTTTTTTTTGTAATTGTGTTATTAAAGCACTAGACTAACTAACCTCATGGCCATTGCTAGAAGAGTCTCGTCGTACCGGTCTTTGGAGTTTTCTTCCGAATCTTTGAACAGAGCTAGCTCGTAGAACATCTTGTTCGGTTGTTCTTCGAATTGGAATTGTTCCTTCTGGACATGATTCACCAGACAAACTCCATAACTGAAAATTTTCCGAAACCATGGCAGTCGGGTTATGGCCTTTCGGCCTCTCCGGTGGATCCTGTGAACCCATGAAAAATTTAAAACTTTGAGAAACTGAACTCAAGTTTTTTAGTTCTAAAAAAACCCAGAATTTTAAAGCTCTATAAAAGAAATTCAAATCAATGTAGAATAAAATTCAGCTACCAATGGCTTTTTTCCTTGCAATTGAGGATGATCAAATGCTGGTTGTTGATGAGAAACAACACAATCTATCACATCACCATCAGGACTCTGCATCAAAAACAGGGGAAAAAACAGAGCAAAATCAGGGGAAAAACAAGGGCAAACAGAGCAAAAACAGGGGAAAAGAAATTCAAGATCTTCAAAAAGGAGGATTAAAAAAAAAAAAAAACAGACCTGAATTGTCTTGACAGGAGGCTTGTTGATCTTGTTGAGATGGGCTTTAATCATCTTCAATTTCTGAATCTCTTCGCCTGGCCGGAGAGTCTGATTGACTCGACTATCGTCGCCGGATTCTGATGAACAGACCGGACAAACAGAGGAAGCAAGAAAGAGAAAGAAAACAAATATGGAAATGATTGGGGAGACCTTGCAATAGCTAGGAGCCATGTTTGAGGACATTGTGTGTCTTGTTTGTTCTTCTATAACTGTTTGTGTTTTTGTACATTGGTGCTGTCTTCTTCTGTGATCAAAATAGTACCAATTATTCTGAGTTTTTATCCATTCAAGCACACCTCCCACCACCAAATCCATCCAACACAGAGCAACCATTCAAAGAAACCCAATTCCAATTCACTCTCTCACCATTTCCTATGCTCCAGAGCCCCAGAATAACAAATCCTCCCCTTCTCTCTCTCTCAACCGTGGCTGAGATGAGGATGCTAAGGTGGATGTGTGGTAAGACTAGACAGGACAGGATTAGGAATGAGTGTATTCGGGAATGGGTAGGAGTAGCACCGATAGAAGATAAGTTGAGAGAGAATCGTTTGAGATGGTTTGGTCATATTCAACGGAGACCAACAGAGGCAGTAGTGAAGAGATGCGATGCTGTAACGGTAGATAGAAGTGTTAGGGGACGGGGTAGGCCTAGATTAACGTTGACTAGCGTTATAAATAGAGATATGAATCTACTTAATTTGACTAATGAAATGACCTTTGATAGGGCCGCGTGGAGAAGAAGGATTCATGTAGCCGACCCCATTTGATGGGACTTAAGGCTTCGTTTGGTTTGGTTTGGTTAGAAGTTTCGAATGCATGAGAAAGGAGGTGGAGATTAAACAAGGAAGATAGGCCATGTTTATTGGATGAATTGGATAAGAGAGATTATAATTTATTGGACTATTAATTTTGAGATATATTGGACTGTTTGGTTGGAAATAATATTTATTCCATATTTGTTTCATCATGGGATTAAATGTCAGAAAATGACTATGTTATTGAATCCTATGCTTGATTGGGATATTATGAAGAAAAATAAATACTCAAAAGATTATTTTGTCATTTTGAATTGTTTACTAAGTAATGTCAATATTAAATTTTACTTATAAATTTTATTTTATCTTTTACCTAGAACTTCAAAAAAAATAAAAATAAATAGAACATCAATACAAATAAAATTTATATTGAGACTTTATTTTATTTTTTAGTTGAGACTTTTAAATTTTATTTTATGTTACTATGTGCAATACATAACATTAACAAGAAATTAAAACTAATTTGACAAAAACAACAATACAAATTTAAGTGGACCATATCAAAAAATATTTACAGAGTTTAAAAAAAATTAATTTGACAAAAATAAACATCAAAATTATATTTTAAAATTTTTAGAAATTATTTTTTATTTTTTTGTTTTCTTCACAAACTTAATTTTTTATTTAAAAAAAACATTCAAAAAACAAAACCAAACGTGATTTAAATACTTGCAAGGTAAAATTGTCTTTTTACTATATAATCTATAGGAGGCTAATCCAACACTTTTGTATTACACCTCTCTCCTAGGATGAGATAGTGCTAGACTAATAGTCCGATCAAACTATTAGTGCAACATATAATTTTTCAATCAAATAGTGGACTAGACTAGATGTTGGATATGAAATCTAATTCATCCTCCGATCCCTCCAAACAAACCCCCTCCAGTTCTTAATGGAAGCAACTGCTTCAAGTCTGACACAGTTCTGAGTCATATTGGTCACTTCTAATTTTTTTTGAAAAATGTTCTTAATGAGAATAATAAATTTATTTTTCAAACAACCTCAAGAAAATAGAAAAGAAAAGAGAAGATTAATAGAAATGTTTTCCTTGCAATATAGATAAAAAAGAAGAAGAAAAGACAGAGAAGAAAGAGACTCTGTTATCAATCAAGCCTCTGTTCTTCTTTCGCCATTTTCTCGAGAAAATCTCGAAATTCCTCTGTTTTTTTTTTGTAATTGTGTTATTAAAGCACTAGACTAACTAACCTCATGGCCATTGCTAGAAGAGTCTCGTCGTACCGGTCTTTGGAGTTTTCTTCCGAATCTTTGAACAGAGCTAGCTCGTAGAACATCTTGTTCGGTTGTTCTTCGAATTGGAATTGTTCCTTCTGGACATGATTCACCAGACAAACTCCATAACTGAAAATTTTCCGAAACCATGGCAGTCGGGTTATGGCCTTTCGGCCTCTGCGGTGGATCCTGTGAACCCATGAAGAATTTAAAACTTTGAGAAACTGAACTCAAGTTTTTTAGTTCTAAAAAAACCCAGAATTTTAAAGCTCTATAAAAGAAATTCAAATCAATGTAGAATAAAATTCAGCTACCAATGGCTTTTTTCCTTGCAATTGAGGATGATCAAATGCTGGTTGTTGATGAGAAACAACACAATCTATCACATCACCATCAGGACTCTGCATCAAAAACAGGGGAAAAAACAGAGCAAAATCAGGGGAAAAACAAGGGCAAACAGAGCAAAAACAGGGGAAAAGAAATTCAAGATCTTCAAAAATGGAGGATTAAAAAAAAAAAAGACCTGAATTGTCTTGACAGGAGGCTTGTTGATCTTGTTGAGATGGGCTTTAATCATCTTCAATTTCTGAATCTCTTCGCCTGGCCGGAGAGTCTGATTGACTCGATTATCGTCACCGGATTCTGATGAACAGACCGGACAAACAGAGGAAGCAAGAAAGAGAAAGAAAACAAATATGGAAATGATTGGGGAGACCTTGCAATAGCTAGGAGCCATGTTTGAGGACATTGTGTGTCTTGTTTGTTCTTCTATAACTGTTTGTGTTTTTGTACATTGGTGCTGTCTTCTTCTGTGATCAAAATAGTACCAATTATTCTGAGTTTTTATCCATTCAAGCACACCTCCCACCACCAAATCCATCCAACACAGAGCAACCATTCAAAGAAACCCAATTCCAATTCACTCTCTCACCATTTCCTATGCTCCAGAGCCCCAGAATAACAAATCCTCCCCTTCTCTCTCTCTCTCTCTCTCCTCTATCTCTCTCTCAGCTTCTAAAATACCTTGTTTTGTGTTCTGACACCCACAAACACTCAAGCATGAGGTAATAATAAAACACACCGATGGGTTGTGTTTTTTAGAGTTTTACCCATGTGGGTTTGGAGAAATAAATACTGAGTTGTGATCAAAACATGCACAAATTTTAATTTTTTGAAAGAAAATTGAGGAGAGAGAAATAAGGGGAGAGAGAAGGGGTTGGGGGGGAAGGTAGGGGGTGTGTTTCCAGTCTCCAATACAAGGACTGAAACTTTAGCTTTTGTGTTATAATTTTGATAGGGCAAAATGGGAAGTCTACTGAATTCTGTTATTCTTTTCTTTGGGTAGGAAGACAGATAGGAATTACACTTGATTCTGGGTTTCCAAAGTTCTTTGCTTTGGGTGCCTCTTTTTCACTTCCCTAGATGTTCTTTGTGTCAGCCTGCCCTATTTTTTTATTTATTTTTTTTGTCATCTACAGTTTCACATACTACAATAATACAAGCTAATTTTTTAGTTAATGATTAACAGAGCAAAGCTATCTCACTTTGATTTTCTTATAATTGTTCAAGATGAAAGTATATTTTTGGTTTTGGATAATTTGAGAAATGAATCATCATATGCTGTTTGCCCATGCTACAGCGATGGCGGAAGGGAATGGTATAGAGATGTCCATCTAGTGGGCCATCCCTAAGATAGTCAAAACATAAATTTATAAATCAAGAACATCGAAACATCTAAAAAAAAAATAAAAAAAATAAAAATAAATCAAGAACATCAGACAGCATTTAGAGCATCTCCTACCTAGCCACATTATAGAATGGAGTTCCAATACGGTAGATTATAATGCAATAGATTTTTTTTTCTATTGACTAGTTACATTTATAAATTAATTTCAAAAAAAAAGAAGTATTGTTAATGTATAGATTGCATATCTTCTATATATTTTTATTAGGTTTAATGGCTAATATGAGACTAAAATACATAATGAAATACAAATATCTCTCGCATTATGTCACTTTTAGATTTATTATTTTCTTGAGTAAATTACAATTATAGTCCTTAAGTTTAACACCTTTTTCGTTTAAGTTCTTAAAGTTTCAATTTTGTCAATTAAGACCCTAAAGTATTAAATTCGAATCAATTTAGTCCTGATGACAATATAAAAATTGAACATAAGCCTAAAAGTTATATAAAATTGTAATTAGACCCAGATTTTAATTTATTATTAACTTAATTATCCTCTGCACTTGTGTTTTTATAATTGGTATATTTCTCCTGGACTAATTAATTCTAATTGCTTATATAAGTCTTTTTCTATTTTTATTATGTTATTATTTATTTCTTGTAATACACAATTATCCATTTTATTTGATTTTTTGACTATTTCTGATATTATTTTATATTTCATTTCATTATTTTTTTCTTATTCCATCATTATTTATAATTCTTCTAGACTATAATTACTTAGATCCATTTTTTAAAATTTTTTATTGGTATTAATAGAAAAAATTCACTTGGAGAGTGTTTTGGTAAAAATAAGAATAATTATCTGTATTATTTTCTATAAGAGCCAACTGGTGACCTTTTATCCAATACTAGATGTTGAACTTTATGTATAATTTCTATTTGATTTTCCTTAAGACTTTCGTTATGTACTTTTAATAATTTGATTATAGTATTATTTTATCCGATAATTATTTGTAGTGCAGTACTTTTATTTAAATTATCTTATTCGACTTCTTCAATGTATCTAATACCCATATATTAATATTGGTAAAACTAAAAAATCAAATTTTGATATCAATTCTAAAACACATGTGTGAAAGATAATTAAATTAACAATAAATTAAAATTTGAGTTTTATAACAATTTAATATAATTTTTGGACTTATGTTTTATTTTTTTTGTTATCTTCAAGACTAAATTAATTCAAATTTAATATTTTAAGAACTTAATTGACAGAATTAAAATTTTAGGAACATAAAAAAAAAAAAATTGTTAAACCTTAAGAGCTATAATTATAATTTATCCCATTTTTTTAATTAATTAATTAATTAATTTTTGTACTACACATACACAACACAAACACCTTTTGAAGCTGTCATTTTCTATGTAGTAGCGAGATAGTAAGAGAGGGAGACAGAGAGGCTGTTGGGGATGGTGTGGTGGCACGCTTGCCTGGTTATGTGCAATACTTGCATGCTTATGCTTATGCAAGCATCCCATGCATGTGCATGCGCACATTAGATAGCTTATGTTTCGGACTTCTTTTAAACTAAACCTCCAATATAATTGGTTGCCCATCCATGCATTGTCTCTCTGTGCTTGAAGGATACATATAGATATATTAACGGAGTTATTAACTTGTGTTTGGAAATTGAATTTAGAGATAAATTTGTGAAGTAAAAGAAAAAAATAAAAAGGAATGTGAATGAAGTTTTTGTTACTTTTCCTTTTCCTTCTTTTTTTTTTTTCCTCTTTCTTTATAAATCTCTGTTCAAATCTTAAATTCAAGCACAACTGTAAACTGATATCACCTGTTAATAAAATACTATAAATGAGATCAGGTGGACAATCCGTATCCCTTACTACCATATATTAATTTGGAAAATATTTGGTAGTTCAAAATTTTGTGGCTCAAATGGCTCAAATCTGTCAAAACGACGTCGTTTTACACTCAAAATCTGTCAAAACGGCTAGGGGTGTGCGCGGTGCGGGTCGGTGCGGTTTGAGAGAAAAATAGAAACTATATGACGGGTGGCGGATTGATAAAAGTGTCACTAAAATTTTCCATTTTTCTTATCAAAAACCGGCGGTTCGGTTGGCAAATAATGGCGGATTTGCCTTGGCGGTTCAGGCGGATTGGCGGTTTATAAAAAACTTTGGCGACCAAAAAAAAAAGTTGGTCGCGGAAAGTATACTATTGGCGACCAAAGGTATTTTTTGGTCGCGAAAGATCACCTTTTGGCGACCAAAAAAAAAAGTTGGTCGCGGAAAGTATACTATTGGCGACCAAAAGGCTTTTTTGGTCGCAGAAGATCACCTTTTGGCGACCAAAAAAAAAAGTTGGTCGCGAAAAGTATACTATTGGTGACCAAAGGCTTTTTTTGGTCGCGGAAGATTACCCTTTGGCGACAAAAAAAAAAAGTTGGTCGCGGAAAGTTATGGCGGGAAATTGTTTTTAAAAAATGATACTACTATAATTACATGCTATTTTTTTGTTTAGGTATTAAAAGTTTTATAAAATAATATATAACCGAATTTTTATGGGTTATATATATGTTTTGCCAAATATGAACAAGAAGCTTGTTATTGGCAGAGTGGATTGGGTGCATGGTGACTCCTTGGTCACGGGTTCGAGTCGCAGGTAGCACAAAGAATTATTTTTTTTGGGTCAAGGCGCGGACTTTTGGCGACCAACTTATCTTTGGTCGCTAAAAGTTTACTTTTGGCTAATATGAATTGGACTTTCCGCGACCAAAAAAGTTGGTCGCGAATGGTCACTTTTAGCGACCAAAAGGCTTTTTTGGTCGCAGAAAGCTATCTGTGACGAGGCTTTGGCGACCAACTCGCGACCAACATATTTTGGTCGCGAAAAGGTTTTAGCGACCAAATATGGTACTTTTCGCGACCAAAATGTTGGTCACGGAAAGTGTTTTTTCTTGTAGTGAAATCTCTGTTCAAATCTTAAATTCAAGCACAACTGTAAACTGATATCATCTGTTAATAAAATACTATAAATGAGATAAGGTGGACAATCCGTATCCCTTACTACCACATATTAATTTAGAAAATGTTTGGTAGCTCAAAATTTTGTGGCTTAAATGGCTCAAATCTGTCAAAACGACGTCGTTTTACACTCAAAATCTGTCAAAACGGCAGGGGTGTGCGCGGTGCGGGTCGGTGCGGTTTGAGAGAAAAATAGAAACCGTCTGGCGGGTGGCGGATTGATAAAAGTGTCACTAGAATTTGCTATTTTCCTTATCAAAAACCGACAGTTCGGTTGGCAAATAATAGCGGATTTGCCTTGGCGGTTTGGGCGGATTGACGGTTTATAAAAAATATAATTTAAATTACAAAACCTAAATCAAAGAGTAAAAAAAAGACGAGAGATACCGTGATGTTAAGCATCTTGCGAAGCTTTCTTCTGATGCAACAAGTGTAGCAACAACATGATAATATCAACGACTATGCCATCAGTTCATTACAAGCATCAGTGGAAGCTACAATGATTAAATACAATACATAAAATTCCACTCGAGCAGTAATGTAATACTATATTCTAAGGTATAGAACAACAAGCAAACTTAAGTAAAAAAGAATTTTTTGAATCTTATAAAACATGATTTAATAGCGGTGCGGGTCGGTGAGGTTTGGAAGAAAAATAGAAACCGGCGGATTGATAAAAGTGTCACTAGAATTTGCCATTTCTCTTACCAAAAACCGGCGGTTCGATTGGCAAATAATAACGAATTTGCCTTGGCGGTGCGGTTCGATGCGGTTTTGGCAGCGGTATTATGCACACCCCTAAAAACGACATCGTTTTGAGTGATTTGAGTCATTTGAGCCACAAAATTTTGAGTTACCTAGCATTGTTGATATTAATTTCTATACCATCATTTTTGAACTCTCATCTTGTTTCAAAACAATTTTTTTTATTAGTTAGTGATACTACCACGTGATATTATCATGATACCTAATATTACTTGTGGTCAAATATTAATGCTAGACACTTAAAAAAAAGTGCATTAAAAAAATATTTGGACCAAATTTAGTTTAATTTATACCCCATTAAATTTAAATTTATTTTTTAACACCTTTTAAAACATTGTTTCCCCTCGAAATTATGCTTTTCATTGTTGGTGCTATCTATCTATACTATATATTAAAGAAAATTGGGGGTTTTAACTTTAAGAGTTTTAGGAGTTTCAAAACTGTAATCCAATTATGTTGATTTTTGATTCTTTTTTAAAAAGTAACAAATACCATTGGCTACTAAAAATTAAATTTCAAAGTTATAGTCAACAAAAAATTTATTGAATTTACATATCATTTAGGGATTTAAGGAATTGTTTTCCATAATAAAAATATACTATATATTTTACCTAACTAATTAGCAAGAATTTACTATAAAAAAAAAAAGAAGAAAAAAACGTACACAAGAAACACATTTCACTGCTTGCAAAATAAAAAAGGAAGCTTACACAAGAAATATCTTCATCTTTATGAGAATAAATATTT